ATTATACCTATCTATGTAAAATATATTTTTATCCCAACTATATGTTTGTTTTTTATTTATTTTTCTAGATTATCTGCTTTACAACTTTCCTAGCTGTCGTGACAGCGCAATATGGCCACGGCCACAGTGTTGCACATTCTTCCCAGCATTTTGTTAAACACGATGGACATCCGGAAGTCGTCCACGGCCATCACGGACATTATGACTATCATGTAACTATAATACTAATTTTATACTGTTTTACACATTATCACAGTTCCTAATTTTATTATTTCGTTATATAGACTCATCCCAAATATGAGTTCGACTACAAAGTGGAAGACCATCACACGGGAGACATGAAGTCTCAACATGAGCACCGAGATGGAGACGTGGTGAAGGGCGCATACTCTCTACACCAGCCTGATGGCTCCGAAAGGACTGTCCACTACCACGGTGACCATCACACTGGGTGAGCACTAATGTTTGAATATATTATAATATAATTTAAACAATAATCGGAACCGACCTGACATGGTCGGCAACACGTTCACGAGGGTATCGGCAGTGTAATCTGCGTTGTCACTTTTCATCATAAAAACAGTGAGCTTCTAGCTCCCTTAATAAATATTAAATAAACCTGATGAATATTACCATCTCATACTTATAATTCCTTCATATTGTTATAATAATTTTCTTTGCAGTTTCCACGCAGATGTCAAATTCGGAACTCATCACATTGTTCCTCATCATCATCATCATTAATGCTTTGGAATTATTTGATTCAATACTTCATGTTATGTTAACTTGTATATTATATTATTTATGTGTTACTTATTGAATAAATTATTGATTTTATTAATTTCTTTTAATTCCTGCTATTATTTAGTCAGATGGTTAATTGGTTAAAACCCATAATTTATAAAAAAAATGTTTAACTAAAATACTCTTTTGTCACTTAACATCACATCGCAAACAAATATGTCAGAAAGAAACGCTACTTTTGTCAAAAGAGATTTACTGTTCCTATAAAAAATGCACTAAAAAATAATTTGATATTATTATTTTTCTATTTATTTGATTGGTATTAATACAAATTTAGAAATTCAATATCTTTAATTTACAGACTCTTCATTTCTTCTGACACTCCAACCTCCTACATCATCCCAATCTTTTTGATTGATTGATGAGGTTGGAAGTAAGAATTTTCTTCAGTTTTTTTTTCGCCTACCAATCACTTCTCCTTTTGTTTGATCGTCAACGCATGCTTTCATGACAATTAAAAAATAAAATTCAACCGATCAGTGGGATGTTCAATATATCTTTACTAATATACTATACTTGTGGTGCTACTTGTGATGACTGGTCGGACTTGAATTCGTGTATGCGGTGATGTTAGTTATTTCGACTATGTATTTGCGTGTTGTTCCCACGAGAATGTAAGTGCGTGCTCCTATTTCACTATGCCTTCTGCTGATAGAGGACGAATCTTTGTTTTTTTACTTTTTATTATTATTAATATACTATTAATTACAATATCCTGTGATGACATGGTGTAAATGGTTGCAGCTCCTTACAAACATTTGAAAAACAAAAATTTGGCGATGAAAAAGAGTGGCGGAGAGTTCATTGACAGTTCTTCTCGTCCGTTCTGCGCCTTTGATTTGAGAACTGGCAGTTAATGTAAAATTAGAATCCGCGCCACCGCTGAATGCCGATAGAAGCGGCGCTAGCGAGTAGCGCAGCGTTGAGCGTAGTAATATGTTGCTAGTGCTAGGTGCAAGGTTATTTTACCTCAACGTAACATATATTAATAAGAAATTCGCGAACTACTCTCCAAGATTTGCTTCTAATGTTTTACCTTAAAACGAATAAAATAATATTTCACTGTAACGACAAATTTAGTTCCAGGGTTCCCGTCGGCAATGAGTGGTGGCGCGGACTCTAGGCATAATCGTTGATAACCAATTGTTATCTGTCACCTTGCTATGGTAGTTTGATGAGCATTCGAAACGCCTATAAATGATAATTATATATATGAGTAGGAAAGCACATTTGCTGTAAGTAGACATATTGCAATTGTTCACCAGAAAAAACTTTATTAATTTCGGAAAAAAATTAATAGTGTCTGACCTATCCATGATATTGCTACCATTTGCTACCATTTTGAAACTTATATTTATTTAACTGCCAGTCACCATTTGCATTTGCAATGTAAACTTTTTATCCAAAGTTACTATAAGTACGTGTTTGGCTAGGTTACAGCAAACAGGTTTTTTAAATCACAAAACCTTTAAAAACGCTGTAACTAAGGAAAAAAAATGTACGCGCGGAAATATTATCAAATTACAGGCGGTAAATATGCTGTATGCAGTAAATTTATGTATTTGGGTACTTTCAATTGCAATTCAAGATGTAAGATTAGTTTATAATTATGATTAGATCTAGAAATGCAGTGGGTCATTTGGTAATGTAATGTTCGGTTGAAATAAAATGTCGTAAATGGTAAAAACACTAAAACTTAGGTTCCCTAAGCTTGCTGTAAGTAAATGAATGTAAAAATCACACGCCGCTGAAATGCTGTAAGTAGCGTTAAGTTTTTAAATGGGAAGAAGTAAGTATTTGTAAAGAAAAAAATGCAGATTTTCTTTTGCTGTAAGTGCAAAATGTCTGAAATGACTAGATTTTGGTCTACATACAGCATTTAATCTTGCTAAAAAATAATATAAGTAGGGCGTTTTCAACGGCGTATGTAATTTTTTTCATCGTAGAGACACAGGACCCAGGTCATTCGATGGGCTTTTTTTCTGATTCTAATGGAGGAAAAAGTCACTTTAGGTATTTTGTCTACTTACAGCAAATATGCTTCTAGTGGAAGATGTTTAAAAAAAATGAAATTGTTTGTTATGGGTTTAATCTCAGTGATTAAAAGAATATACGACAAACATATTTCAAAGATATTTAATTAATTTTCCTTTGATAACAATTTATAAAAATCCAAGAGATCATTCCTCAACATAGCAGAACTTCAACCTTATTCTCGTCTCTTTTTATCACAATGTAAACACAATTTGACAGAAAGCTTAGACCTTATACCAAGTGAAACCTTACCCGGTGTTATGGTAGTGCACGGTCCTCTCCGAACCATCAAGTTGACGTAGACAGTTAACAGTAGACGCCCTTCACCACATCTCTATGTCCGTGTTCGTGCTTCGACTAAACGTCTCCTGTGTGATGGTCATGGGCAAGGGTAGAAGCAGGTATGGGCCAGTCGGCATCATTCCCTTTGCAAGCTCGTCGGTGGCATCATTGCCTACAGTGCATAGTGACACTCCAGTATTAGTTGACTTACAAACATTATATTCACCGTTTTCCATGAGTGCACAAGTCGTGTAATCCAGGAGTTTTATTTTCTGTTAATTACTGGCGAATAATAATTATTTCAAGGCACACACAATTATTTTATTTTTATGTCATTACATTATTAATAGGACTTGCAGCATTAAGATTATATCATACTAATTTATAATTCGATATTAAGTATGTAATAATGACTAGATATTTTTTGAAATTCATATGAACATTCTTTTCGTAAGAATTTCTAAACATTGTAGAAAACAAATTAGAGTGAAATCAACGTTACCTTGATCATATCACACAGTATTTTATTATAAAAGACGTGAAATTGATTAACATGTATCAGTTTCAATTACACTTTCATACAAAATTTATCTATCTTAAAATGTTTGCAAAGGTACATTTGATATTTAAAAGTAATAATTTGTGGAAAAGCTATGCAATAAAATAATAATCTCTCTAAGACTGGAAGAGAATGCTAAAAATTAGCTACAAATGCTAATTTGTAGCTAATTTCGGCCATATTGTTTTTGATTGTTGCTTCTAAATTTATTTTTATTGTAATTTTTGTTTTTTACAGGTTTTATGCATCACAACTCTCCTTGCTGTTGTGACAGCGCAATATGGCCACGGCCACAGTGATGCACACTCTTCCCAGCATTTCGTTAAACACGATGGGCATCCGGAAGTCGTCCACGGCCATCACGGACATCATGACTATCATGTAACTATAATACTTCTTCAAGACTGTTTTACACAGTATCCCAGTTCCTAATTTTATTATTTCGTTATATAGACTCATCCCAAATATGAGTTCGACTACAAAGTGGAAGACCATCACACGGGAGACATGAAGTCTCAACATGAGCACCGAGATGGAGACGTGGTGAAGGGCGTCTACTCTCTCCATCAGCCTGATGGGTCCGAAAGGACCGTCCACTACCATGGAGACCACCATACCGGGTAAATCTTATATTTATGTCAGGAAGTAGTTAGACTGTTTAGCATACTTTATAATCACTTCTTTGCAGGTTTCACGCGGACGTAAAGTTTGGGACTCATCACATCGTTCCCCATCATCATAGCCATTATTAAATTTCCATAAGCACTTTGAATTTTAATTGTGTAAGATATAATAAATCTTGTTTTAATATATATATATTTGTTTTTATGATTAATTAAAATGTATATTGATAAAATTAAATTTATATCACTACATAAATACTCACCAGCCAGGTGAATTTATAAATTTAAACTGTAGGTCACTTGGACAAGTGCTTTTTCATTGCTCATTCATTTGCTGCATCGTTCGCTATTAAAATCATTTTGTTTCTACAAATATCTATAGGTTATTTTGGTGGTACGATATACAAAGATATACGTTTAAATTTCTATTATAAAAGAGTTGAGTACTGTATGGTGTTTTGATAATTAGGTACGGTAAATAGAAACTTTCAAAAATTCAATTCAATAATTAATTTAGTTTTTTTGATAGCATTACCAATAAATTGTAGTAACCCACTTACAATACAATTACTTAACTTTTGTGATTATAAAATAATACAAGTTAAATATTCTCAACCTTTAATAGATATATCAAAATCCAACAAATTGTACAAAATTTATAAAAATATCACAGCAGTTTTGGTAAACAATATTTAGAGTTAGTAATGTCCGTCGTGTTGTTTTGGTACAACATGATGAGTGCCATACTTGACATCAGCGTGGAAACTGTAAAAAAGAATAATATTAGTATGTGTTTTCATATTTCGTTTGTTAAAACATTTAAACAATGTAAGTAACATTTGAGTAATGGCAGAGTGTATAATTATGGGCCTTTGCTCTAATCTGTGGTTTCAACTCTATAAAAAAATCAGTGGCGCAACAACCTTTTAGGTCTGTTTGTTGATCATTTGTCGACCTAATAGGCTTATAGGTGATCAGTCTCCTGTGCCTAATACACGCGTCGACTTTTGGGTCTAAGGCAAGCCTCACGGTGTTTTCCTTCTCCGTACGAGCGAGTGTTAAATGCGCACATAGAAAGAAATTCCATTGGTGCACAGCCGGGTATCGAACCTACGACCTCAGTGATGAGAGTCGCACGCCGATGCCACTAGGCCAACACTGCGCTGGTTTTAACTACTTCTATAGCAAAGTTTAAAATAATCGCAGCTGAAGTTATAAGAAAGTGGAAAAGCATAGTCCCACGAACGTGTGTTGAGATAGTTTATTGGAAAACTTTTGATATCATTTTAATGATAGTAAATATAAATTTTTAGACATACAGCGATGGTATTAATATGACATATAGTTACCCAGTGTGTTTGTCTCCATGGTAGTGTACAACTCTCTCAGAGCCATCGGGCTGGTGCAGAGCATACACTCCCTTCACCACATCACCATCACGAACCTCGTGCTGGGACTTGATATCTCCAGTGTGGTGGTCTTCTACTTTGTAGTCGAACGCATATTTTGGGTATGCCTGGAAATGAAAAGAAATATTTACTATTCATGTTTTCAATAATTTTATCAGTTTTAAGTATTAATTTGCAAGATCTACTGCAACGTGAAAACTTAAAACAATGTACAATCAGAGAAAGGCTACATTTTCTAAAGCTACTTATTCAAAGTTATTAATAACTCCTGGCCTCTAATAATAAAATTATTTGAAAGATGTGTTCAAAGCCTGAAGCTATCTTTATAAAATTGTTATAACGCCTAAGACGGAGTCTGAGCGATTATTGTTTCGGAGGCTAGCTTATAAAATACCCTTATAAAATTGTTATGACGATTGTAAGCTTAGGATGGATTCTGCGGCGATTATTGTTTCGGAGGCTTTTCCATGTTTATATGGAAATCATTATCTTAATATACTTGAATCTAAATACCAGATCCCTTACTGTCACTTCCAATAGCAATAACGACAACGATATCGATCTCAATAACGAGTTAATGTTCCGCGTAATCCAATTGTGAGCAAACTACATTGAACTTGCATACATAAACGTCGGGGTCGGTATTGCTATTGAAGTTACAAAAGGAAAAAGAAGAACGCAGAGCTGGAGAAACTTAGACCGCAACAAGTTCATTCCTAAAACTATACTACAATAAAATACACACTTAGTTGAAATGAAAAAAAAATACTTGCCTTAATTTTTTTTAATGTAGACCTAATTCTATTTATACTCTTGGCTCCTAGCTATGGTAATGTTAAAGTGTTATATAATCATAGTAGATGCGAGAAATGATAATTCACTGTAATCCTATCTCATCGAGAATATTACCGACTTCATTTTTTTTTTATCCTTACAATAATGTTCTCAAAAGTGTTACTTTGCATGAATTACAATGCAGCCTATACAATAATTATGGCTCATAAGTTATATTATGTTGACTTAATTTTTTACAATACTAGTAAATAGCTTAAACTAAGGTAATGTTCATTAACAGTCTTAGTGTTCTATAATGTTTTAACACTATATTCGTGTGTCCGAGATACCGCACTTGCACTTATATTCACTACAAATGGTTTATTAACTTAAAAGGTTTAGTTCTCTTTACACCGACTTATTTCTGTACCGACTTAATCTAATATATAAAATTCTCGTGTTACAATGTTCGTTCCCATACTCCTCCGAAACGGCTCGACCGATTCTTATGAAACTTTTTATGCATATTTAGTAAGTCTGAGAATCGGCTACTATCTATATTTCAAACTAAGTGATAAGGGGTGTCCCCCCCAAAACAATATTTTTTATACAAAAATTTTTGGTTTTATTTTTTTATGATACAGCATACAAAAATACATACAACCCCTAATTTTCACCCTTTTACGACCAACCCCTTTTTTATTATAGTACATAGTTAATTTTATTGAACTAAAAAAGGTTTCCTAGAAATAATATACATAGCAAAACAACGTTTGCCGGGTCAGCTTGTATAAATATATTGTTGTCTTTAAGAATCCTTTAAAAACCAACCAGCATTTAAACAATACTCACGTGGTAGTCAACCGTGTCATAATGTCCCTTGCCGTGATCGTATCCCTTTACATGAACCACTTCAGCTGGGCCGTCGTGTCTCGAAATATGCTGCGAGGAGTATGCTGGTGCATGACCATGCTCATAGGATGCCGTCACAGCTAACAGAGCAGCGAGGATTATCTGAAATATTTATTTGTATGTTACAGATATTTACCAGATTTAGCAAATTGTTTTCATTAATTGATTTAACAAAACATATATACCTTGGAAAACATTTTAGTTAATTTCAACGTCAAAGTCAACTATGAACTGATGCAGTTGACATAGAATTTGTCTTTTATATTAATAACAAAGTATCAATCAAGGTGATATGGATTTCACTAATGTTTACTCTTGCATTCTTAACTAGTGATTGCTCCGGCTTGAACAATTCGTTACAAGCACGGCTTGAATAGCTAGCCTATAGTTACCTATTAATTTTTACAATTGCAAGTTTTTTTCAAGATTAACATTAGACAACATAGAATTTAATAAAACACTATTTTGACCGGATTGAAGTTATATATTATTATAAATTTACAACTATTTAAAATTATGTTAAATAGTTGTAAATTTATAATAATACATAACTTCAATCCGGTCAAAATAGTGTTTTATTAAATGAATAAAAGTTATGTTAATCAAAGACAATACAACATAGAATTTTTAACATTAATTTAATGACTATCATTTTTGTTTACGATGATTTTGTATAAATGTGTTTTATGTATACTTCATTTCTGAGGGTCGTGTTTGTGGCACCACACAACTTCCTCCACCCTCTCCTGTCTTCGGCAAGCCTTAAAGCCAGGGTCATCGTAAGACCTGTAATGGTCTCTACTTGATCAGCCCAGCGAGTAGAGTATTGCCTTTGAGATCTGGAGCCCTCCACTCTGGAAGTCACGATATGTTTTTCTTTTTTTACCTGTAACCTTCTTCCTATGGAGAAGGTTGTTTCCTTAGTTGTCCAGATAATCCTAAGCTCCTCCAACACATTTATGTATACAAGGATTATTTATGAAAACTTATCTTTGAAAAACAGCAGCCATCAGGACTTCACCATTAAGTTTCCTGCTAAATAATTTAAAGATATTATATTATTAATTACAAACGATTAAACCTTTTTATCTGAAACTTATTTATTCAATATATGAAAATATAGACAGACTGTAGCTATGTATACTTATTGAGTATATTTTGTTAATGTAACAATGACGAAAAATTTGCAACTAACATTGTATGACGTTGCAAAACACGTCGCCAACATTCATTTAGGCAAGAGTTAATAACTAATATTAAGGTAACAATATCACTAAGATTGATTATTTTAAATTGAACAACTTTTTTGGTATCTATTATAAAAGCTCTTGGAGTATAAAGCCCCGTAGTTCTCAACTTGAACAACACAGACCTATGCGTTACTTTGGAATTTTTCGTTTTCAGACTTTTCCTAAGGTAATGCCACATTAAAAACCGCCTTCGCGGCAAAGCCGAGATCTTTACTTCGTGCTTCGATCACTCCAGTGAGCTTTCATCCAGCCCTGCGATTAACCACCCCGCGGCGGTCCAGCTGATTCCCGAGTCTCACAGGAGACGCCCTAGCGCTCGTCGCGGGAAAAGTGCCTATTCCAGCCGAGCCACGTTCGCCAAACAGCTCCTACTGAGCTGTCAATGCCATTCAGAGCAACAGCAAGATACCATTAAAAAACACTCTTCCTCGAAAAGCTCATAATTGTCTCTAGAATTGTCATTAAATAGTTATTATAAGGTAAGCAGGACTCATAATCTTCCTGCCTATAAATAAAATATGTCAGCCCCTATACTCTGCTGGGACGAGATTTTACAGGAGTTCGAAACGATATAATTATTTTGTAGTATTAACATTATGGGGTCAATGAATTTTCGCGTAGTTATTGAGAACGACATGGCAATGACATGGTTAGTTTTTGTACATCTCAATCGACATTTTTTGTGGACAGTACCCCAGAGCTGGTTTTTGCATAGCGTATTTGTGGAGGAGAGAATGTATTAGAGAATTTAAATAAAATGATTATTTACTTTATATGTTAGTAATTGGTGATGAAATCTGTTTTATTGTTATAATTTCGACAATGACCCGTTGGAGCACGCATGCCTCATATTTATATATTTTTACGGATGAGTTGTTTGTGGCTACTAACTCAAAATAATAGTTATTATATAATTTGTACAAAATGGTTTTTACGAGATTTCAAGTAATAAATTTAGTTATTTATATTAATATATTTTCCAAATAATCAGTATCGGTATAAGCATCAGTATATCGATGCAAAATAATTGCAAAATATTTTTTTTAACGTGTATACAGTTTATACTACTAAATTGCATCATTAATTAATAATAAAAACTTCTTTTTCACAATGTTTTTTTATATATTTTTTTAATCAATTAATCTAAGAAAATTGAATGTTATAGAATGGGCAAAAGGAAGAGTTTACCATACGTAAGATGTGGTCTGAATTTATTCACACAATCAAGGCATAAAAAATGCTAAGTACTTTCTAAATATATTCTAAACGGTTAGCGTCGTTTATTATTGTAACGTTTATTTAATTCAAAATTCACAGTGTATCTTCCGCTGTATTTAGATAGAAAACTAGATTTCAATCGGATCTGAATACTAATAGTGAGCACTAAAGCACTAAATGTTCATTTTGCATGTCGGAAAATATTACGCAATTTCTAAATGACGTTTAAATACTAATTTTTTGTTAAAATTAATTGTCTAAAAAGTCATATAAATATAGTCAAAACTACTTTAACATATATAAACGCAGTAAAGCACTCGAAACGTCCTTGTATGTTAATAAATAAATAAATCTATAGTGCTGCGACCTTTTTAGGTTTGGGCCTCAGATTTCTGTTTCATGATAATTTGTCTAAGTAGGTTATCAGTCTTCTGTGCCTGACACACGCCGTCAATTTTTTGGGTGTAAGGGAAGCCGGTTTCCACTCGATGTTTTCCTTCACCGTTCGAGAGAATGTTAAATGCGCACATAGAAAGAATCTTCATTGGTGCTCAGCTGGGGATGAAGCCACTATAAAACACTGCAAAAATAATGCAATTAATTTCTTACCCGAAATTAAGTTTTCTTTAGTCAAATGACACGAAACAAACACATTCACAAAAATATACATTATACATAAATTATGTATTGATAAACCCATACATTATGTAAAAACAAAAACAGTTATATTGAAACAAATCTGACTTATTTTATATAAGCGAATGTGACGGCGCGAAAATTAAATTTTCATGAAACTTTTTGATTGATTTCCTAAATCTTTCCACCGAACTTTTTAAAGTATGGATTATGACCGGTACGCAGATAAGCCAAATCAATTGATACCTAAAACACATGATTTAAGAAAATACACACTACTTACACTACAAATAAACTAATTACAATACACATACAAGATTCGCAATTTGTTTGAACTTGTATAGCTCCTGTGAGCGTTCTTCTTTAAATAAATAAATGAAGATCCCGCCAGGTTCTACATCAGACGGTGACAAATAAAATCACTTCCTGACGACGCCATTATATTGTGTAGTTTAGTAGTTAAGTGTATTTTTATATAACTTTTAATTTTCTTAACTTAAATCCTTTCCTATATAATTACCACATTTGTGACCACTACTGAGTTAAATTGTGTTTTTTTTTTAAAGTCAATCAATAGTTAAACGTCCAAATCTTAAATGAAATATTGCTAGCAGATAAAACTGTAGACTGAAGCTAATTTATAGGAAATAAATTAACTAAAGCATTGTGTTTACTTTCTATTTGAAATGTAATGGCTAATAGAATGTATGCCTTACAAGACACATTTTAGATTAATTCTTAATTGTGTGTTGGTATGCAATAATTTATGTAAGTCTAACTTAGTGGGAATATGTATTTAAAGTTAAATAAAATATATAAAAGCAATATGACATAAGCATAATTTATTATTATTTTTAAGTACGTAATATTAGGGAAAAATAATATTTTATTTCTTAGCAAAGTACGTATATGGTGGATGAATTTTTTTTTGTATTAAAACACATTAACTTCATTGTTGGTATGACTTCTTAATCATCATTACAATCGAAGGTATTTAATTCAAAGACTTATCAATTTCAACCAATACTTAATTGAAAAAAAGCTACAGTTCATATAAATAACATAGTATTTAGTAACATATAACATAGGACATACTATGTTATTATATTTTATATTTGTCATTATAAAGCCTGGTAGTAATGTAATACAATAATTTAATGCTTTCAGTAATCACGACGTTAAAAGATCAAAAATAAAGTTGTTTTAAAAAAAAGTTTAATTTAGTTCAATTCAACAGGAAACGAACTTAATTCCAATTCATTTAATTATAAGGATCATTGTTCAGAACATCCGCTGAACAACCTTCACATTGATTACGTAAATTACGTCATGTTGAGTCTACAAGCGTGCTGCGGGTTACAAATTTGACGCCCCAAGCAGTAAGATTGATACAATTCTCTCTCGTAACGTCTCCACTATATATTGAGGTTTATACCTATGCTAATTCAACAGTTTCACTGCCGAGGTCTTAGTAGAACGTTCAAAATGTTCAAAGTACGTCTAAATCTTTTTATAAATTTAATTAATATTTTAAAAATAAATCTAACCTATTATATTTATTACAGATCTTAGTTGTTTCGTCACTTATTGCGGCCTGTTTCGCCGAGGAACATGGTTACAAATATAGGCCAGTACATGCAGAGTATAGATACCCTCAACATGCCAATGAACCGGCACCGATACGCGAAGAAGGACTCGCAGAACATGGCCATCCACTGTCCTCACAGAGCGTTGTGCACTATCCAGCTGTGACAGAAGAATCTCAATCACAGGAAGCCTATGAATACGTGACACCGGAACCAGTATACAAACAGTATTACCAGGCTAATGAACACGCACAGGAAGCCCACAAAAGCGTTCACGCTCACTATCCAGCACCCCAGCACCAGCCACAGATCAAATACGTTCATGTCCCCGTTCAACAGTACCATGCCCAGGAGGAACATGAAACACCGGTCTACCATCAAACCCAAGCCCATTCTCACGACGAGCCTATCGACTATTACGTAAGTCTGATTCGTTATTTCGTATACGGATATCCGCCTCTCATTTAAAACTTTCCATTCATTTCATTCGGATCACACTTCATCTATTTTAATACCAAATTAGATTATCGTATCTATTTACAGGCTTACCCGAAGTATCAGTATGAGTACAAAGTAGAGGACCCTCACACTGGAGACAATAAGTTCCAACATGAGGTGAGAGATGGCGACAGTGTCAAGGGAGTTTATTCTCTTCACGAAGCCGACGGGTCTGTGAGAACTGTTGAATACAGCTCAGATAAACATCATGGGTAAGGAAAATAATGTAATTTTAATAAAATAATTACGATTATAAACGGGAATTCATTATTATTAAATAACTCGACGTGTCGAGGGGTTTTCAGTAATTGAATTTATGATTGGAACCCATTAAAGTAAACCAAAGATATAATTTATTTCTATGAAAATAAAAACACGTAATAAGGATTTTCTAAAATTCAATAATACAATTATTTGTCAATACTGTTAAATTAATAATAAAAAATATATTATACCAATTTTAATAAGCCGTGCACAAGATATGAAACACCATATCATTGAAATGCTTATATAATAATTATAAGTACGTTTAAAAAATAATTTTATTGTATGAATGCAAAAAGGTATTGCAAGATTATTATATCATATTTTTTATGTCATTTCAGATTTAATGCAGTTGTGAAACACTCGGCTCCAGGTCAACATGTCCACATCGAAACTCATCATCAGAACTGATATTTTTAGTTTTAAGTTTTTTGCCTATTATTTAATTGTTGATACATGTGTAATTTATTAGTTTTTTAATATAGAGAATATATAATAAATTTAGGTCTATTATTTCAACTCAATTCTTTGAAAAAATTAAACATATAAAGAGGACCTATATACATATACAGAAATATTATTTGAAATAACAATACGCTGGAACAAAAAGAGAAATGTATGTTACTATGTAATTAACCATTTACTTCATTAGATTTTTCTATTTATATATCATCCAATATAAACACAAAAACGGCCGTGCTTATAGTAGTTAATTACAAATTCATGTTTATTTAAACCACTTGGTAAATAGTTTAATAAGTTCCCTATAAATCTAGACTTATGTACAAGAATGTACATTTTGGTCCCTCAGATTTCCTTTAAGAAATAAGATAAGCGTAGCGATTAGCTAAATCTTCGGAGTTACGCCCCGAGAGTATAGCCAGACGTATGTATTCTCTAGCAATAATTAGCAAAGCACAGCATTTCATTTATAATAAATTTATTCTTTTGTTGTATGTGAGTGATAACATTTAGTGTATTTTTTACATTACTTAAAGCATCCCGCCGCAAATCCCGAACCGCATTCAAATAGACGATTGTTTTTTTAATCTTAATTAATAAAAACTTTTATACGAAATCAAACTTTTATTCAAGATTGATAACGCGTTTTGAAACAAATTTCAATTCATGTACTTGTTGATTGATAAAGAAAAAGTCTACTTCAATCAAAATAATTGACTTTATATAACTTGAACAAATATCATTTCAAGTTCGAATTGCACAAATCATTAGTGAACTTATAAAACTAATCGTCAAATATGTAAAACATACGCATAATTCGTTGCGTATGTTTTCACAAATTAATTAAAGGAATGTGGTGAAAGGAGAAGACGCGGAAGCCGATACAGTCCAACGAGGTTAACGTACACGAGACCGTATTTTACAAACCGCGCTGACGCATGCGTCACTCTATGCAGAATTTCTTACAGTTAGATAAGTGGTGTTTAGTTTCGCCATAGGCGTCACGCGTTCAATATCACTAGGTATATCGTAGTAAAAGGATATCTATACTAATACTAGCATGCTCTAAGAAGCATCTAAATTGAAAATTGAATAAATTGATCCGGCAAACGTCATTTTGCCATGTATCATTTATAATAAAAAATAGGGGTTGATCGTAGAAGGGTGAAAGTTAGGGGTTGTATGTATTTTTTTATGCTTTATCATAAAAAAATAAAAAATAAGTAATTTATCTAAAAATTAAAAAAATAATAATTTAGGGGTGGACAACAGTTTTCGTTGCCAGAAAACTGTGACACGAGAATTTTATCTATACTAATATTATAAAGAGGAAAGATTTGTATGTATTAATGTTTGTAACAAATTAGCTTAAAAAGTAATGGACCGAGTTTAAAAATTCTTTCACCATTTGAATGTTACATTATCACTAATCAATAAAGGCTAAATAGCCTAATAAAAATTTATTGCAAGAAAAAAATTAAGATCCCTACTAAAACTACAATAATGTTACCCAAGTTGTAAAAAAATGTCTATTAAATATCTTACATCGCATGCGCTGCGAAAACGATTGACGATAGAACAAAAAAATGTTCCACAATATTAAAGAACATATTATCAATATCTACAAAGAATGTTTAAAAAATAAAAGTCCACCCGTGCGAAGCCGGGACGGGCCGCTAGTCAGTAATAATGTTGCTACTGATTAAAAGAAGAAAAGTTAGTTATTTTTTGTTTACAAGCAGTATTTTTTTATATAATAGGGGAGCAAACGAGCTTGCGGGACGACCAAAAAGGGCAGTCTTCGCAGCCCATAGACACCCATAAAAATGCAAGGTCTAAGTAGTGCATATATGAAAAACATATTAAACAATTTTCTAACGCATCACACGTGTGTGTGTGTATTATATCTTGTAATAGCAGATATGGACACATAGAAATAAAAGATAAAAAATAATATCACAAGACTAGATTTATTGAAATTATTATGCTAAATATTAATGGTAGGAGGAATATTGAGCGATGGGCGCGGAATGAGCAGAATGAGAGCTTATTGGTGCGACATGAGTATATAGAGGGGCAGCATGAGTGATAACTGGGGCAGCGTGTGAGATAATGGGAGCAGCATGGGCAATGACTGGCGCAGAATGAGAAATGATAGGAGATGCATGAGAGACAACTGGAGTAGCATGTCTGGATGGCTGAGAGTTTTGGACTTGAGCGTTAAATCTGAAAAAAATATTAGTATGTTAAGAAAATGTAACAGTACCTTGAGTATGTTTTGTGAAAATTAGAATATATATTTAGTAAAGAAAATAATAAGAGACTTACAGATAATAAATGACAAAAACATATCAGATTTTCACGTAGTAAAACGGTATTATCGTCTCAAAATTGTCATTTTATGATGAATATATGAATCATTAAAAGTATAGAAGTGTTAACCAAGCTAAAAAAACATACCCGCTGTGCGCATCGGCATTGTAGTGTACTGTTCTCACGGAGCCATCAGCTTCATGAAGACTGTAAGAGCCAGTGACGCGATCGCCATCACGGGCCTCGTGCTGAGACTTAATATCACCAGTATGAGGGTCGTTCACGCCGTATGAAAATTCGTATCTTGGGTAGCTCTGGAAGAAGATATATTTAAATTACTTGCCTTGTAAAATTATATAAATCCTTAAAAATTGATAACTCACGTTATATTCCTGGTGACCCTGTGCGTATTGCTGGTTGTAAAGACCAGATCCATGTTGAAGAGTCAGAACAGGGGAAGCGTAGGCGCGAGTAGGAATGGCATGTTGGGCAATTGGTGCAGCGTGAGTAATGTAAGGGGAAGAATGAGAAATGATAGGTGAATGAGATGAAATGACAGGGGCTGAGTGAGAAATGAGAGGGGCAGCATGAGAAAATATGGGAGAGGCATGTTGTACAGTTAAAGCAGATTGAAGGGGGGCAGATTGGTATACTGGAGCGCTGACCGCTATTGGTTGGTTATATCTGTGGCTTTGCGAATTGTCATGACGAATTATTGATTGAGAGGATGTTGCTTGTCCATACGAATAGTGGTCTTGTGCGTTTACTGCAATTAATGCAGCGGCGAGAAGAAACACCTGTAAATTTATTATTGGAATTACAAGCGTATTTTGTTTCATAGAACATCAAATTAATGAAAACTATTCCCAGAACTCAATTTAAAAAAAAACGTTACTTACTTTCGATATCATGTTGTGTTCTTGATAATTGCTGAAGGATTTCGAAGGAGAACTGATACCGTTTTAAAAAGCCCTGAGCTTTTATATTACTCATTTATGGCGATATTACATAGTCCTCACGTAATGTAGGGTAAGAAACGGGTTTTGTTTTTGAGATAGTTGCTTCAAAGATTTTCAAGACAAAAACGAAAGTTTGTATGAAAAAAATATATTTAATACCGAGTATTAACCGGAGTCCCTCAGCACCTCGTAGGCATTATCTAACGTTTCATAAAATGTATAACAATGAAAAACATGAAAGCTTACAAACTACTAGAAAATATAATACAATAGTCAAGACTCGAATGGAGCGATATGACTTTGGGCCTGCGTCCCAGAAGATACACCTTATGAAACGCTGTGCCTTTAAGCGTTCGTTGTACCATAACCAAGCATACATTTATCGTTAGAAGCTTATCCTAAGTAGATTAAGTCGTCTATCCATGAAGAAGACCGCCATGCCCGGCTAATCCGAGGGGAGCGTGCGCTACAGCGACGGCTGGGCCGGGATGCGCTGCGTGTCCTTGCCTGCTCACCACTGCGTTGAATCTGGAATCATATATTTATTAATATTAATAAGTTTAGAGCAGCTTAATAATCCAGTTTTTTCACGTACAACCATGCTTTTAAGAAAGAGTTAGATAGAACAATTACTAAACATGCTTCTAGGCTATTTTTGTGACTATATTTTTTTTTAAATTTCGTCGTAGGTAAGACACTAACAATTAATGTTAACCGACTAAAAAGTATTTTTCTTAGTACACCGTGTATTGTTTAATGATTATATTTATGTACATTAGCTCCAGGTAATTCTTATACTTGAAACAGGTAAAAACGTGTTTTTTGAAGACTCATAATAAATATTCATATTAACTTTTTTTTTCTAAATTAAACACAAGTAAATGGAAATCAGATTTCCCCCCTCTTTTATAAAACGTAGTAATTTTTTTACTTAAATGTTATAAACAATTGAAAATAGTAAATTTATTGTCGACTCATTTGCGAAAGTCCCTATAGGATTATAGGAGATATTTTTTGGACTCACCCGTTGTGGTCATCAGCGGAGTAGTTGACAGTGCGGATGGTACCATCAGGCTCGACTAGCTGGTACTGACCCTTGACTACGTCTCCATCCCGTGATTCCCATTGGCTCTTCTGGTCACCAGTGTGGCCGTCGGCAACACCGTAATTGAATTGGTAGCGGGGGTGGGCCTGGGACATTGTCAAATGTTTTATTTGAAATGTGTTTTATTATGAAGTATTTTGTATCTTTTTTCCCTTCGCGATTGTTTGAGAAACATCCGATTAATCCAAAGACTCCTTATAAATAACGTGGTAGAACAAGATACCGATGGCCATCCATGTACCAAATATCCTACCAATCTAAGATTTTTATAGTGGTACGAAATGTAACGTGGTATTATTTTAAAGTTATAAGGTAATTTATTTCACCTATTCATTTTTTTTCTTGTACGAGGAGGCAAACGGGTAGGAGGCTCATCTGATGTTAAGTGATGCCGCCGCCCATGGATACTTACATTACCAGGAGGCTGGCAAGTGCGTTGCTGGCCCTTTAAGAATTGCTACGCTCTTTTCTTGTAGGACCCTAAGTCGAATTGGTTCGAAAAATACTTCAGTGGGCAGCTGGTTCACATAGTGTGGTGGTGTGTGGCACAAACTGCCTTAAAACGATCAGTTGTGGAACGACGGACGTTGAGGTGATAAGGATAGTATTTTGTATTCTGCCTTGACTTCCGATGATGAAACTCAGCTACAGGTATAAGTACAAACAATGGGACATATGATAAAAATATTAGTTTGATAAAGCTTCGCACGGCGTACAGCCTTCAGCCTGATTTGGTCCCCTTTTTAAATATCAGTAGTCATATAATTCTAATGGCATTCACGGTTAGTAAAGAATACATACATATACTTCAACAGGGGCAACGGCGTGGGCCAAAGGTGCATGGACGATCGGCGCATGCGCAACCACTGCTCCGTGACCTGTAACCGACCTTGAAAATAGGTAAGGCAGGTAAACTAGACACATCGTTATATATTATATTTAGTTATTTAAATATTGATCAGTGAAGCTGCAAACAATTTATATGTATACATGAATGTCTGACTATTAAACGTCAGTTAATATGGCTCATTCTTATCTTACCTAGACCTAATCCATAGCCAAGACCACCATATCCATAAGCTGGTGCTGCAGCTACAGCTGGTGCTGGGTGACCCAACACAATGCTCTGAGAGGAGATGGCGCCATGAGGGGCAGCTATCAAACCTCCTTGCGCCACCACCAACAGAGCACATGCAACTATGGCCTGAAAAAAATATATTAATTTGTTTACCGCTTACGCTGTTTGAACCAGGTTAGATTTTTGTGAGAAACAATTATTGTTTTGGCTTGTAACTTATCAGAGTTATTCAAGATATAAAAACTTTATTTTTTAAGGTTCACTTTATGTAACAAAACATTTATAGAATTAATATATCATATAAAAATCTTTTACACACTACCTTCGCAAACATTTTGCTTTTCTAACTTAGACGTTGATCTAGAAAGCTAGGACTCGATATGTGCCTAAATGTCTGATAACTGGCCCTTATATACTAGACTAGATTAGAGCTATAGGAACGTATGTTTATAGGTACGTACCTTGGATCGCCAATGGTATGATAGTTTCAAATGCTATGCCGCTGGGCCCTAAACCATTAGATTTTATGGATATGGTCAAATGCAATATTACTTTTATTAAACAGGAGACAAAACCGTGTTAAATATAAATGATTAGTATGTAATAAATGCCGTCCCTATACAAATATTACAGCACAGGAGTTTCTGAAGTATTAACTTTTGAATTAAAAATATCAGAAATGATTTTAACTTCGTAGATATTTCCGATCGCGACTTCTCTAAAAGAATACCAAGCTTGTTCTGTACAAAACTCTACTGCGACCAATGCTCACTTATGGTTCTGAATCCTGACCCCTTAGCAAGAAAGACGAGATTTTTATCCTTATTTTCGAGCGGAAGATTCTTCGAAGAATCTCTGGTGAATGAAAGCATGTTTGGCGTATTCGCTATAACGAAGAACTTTATACCATCCTTGAAGACGCCAACTTCGTCCAATTCATAAAGTGGTTGGGACATGTCCGCCGAATGCCGGACGACAGAACCCCATGGTCCTTACTGAACTTACAACCCGGTGGCAAGAGAAAACCCGGTAGATTGAGGCTGCGTTGGTGGGATGGAGTTGTCAAGGACCTCGATACAATAGGGGTTCGAAGTTGGACGCAGGAAGCACTGGATAGATTTCGATGGCGAAGTGTACTTGAGGTGGCTAAGGTCCACAAGGTGCTGTATATATATATATATTTAAAACGACCATAGCCATATCCACGCTATGTTCAACGCGTGCACAATTTGGCCAAGAATTACTTTTCATATTGTCCAATACACACACGAAAACAGAATTCTGAATAAATTAAACCTATAGTTGCCGTAAACTAGCTTTTTGCTCGCATTTATTGTCTTGAGTTTATTTATTGCAGCTTTAAAAGCCAATTAATTTCCACACTTGATAAGGTATTAAGACACAAAACCAGGTTAGAGTTGAGTGATTAATGTTTTAGTGTATTACAAATTATGAAATGGATATACTTATTTCCAACACACAAATATACAATTACATTCTTAAACGACATAGTAAAAATAATAAATAAAAATAAAACAAATATAAAAAGTTTTCTCCCATTAATGCTGGCAGCATTTATTTTATTTTTTCCTCGCCGTATTGCGAAAAGAGTATTTTTGGTACGTAAAAAAGAATACCAGTAGGCATGGAACAGAAGACTTATTCCATAAAAATACAGCAATTACACGACAGAAAAAAGAAAATAAGATAAAGGAATACTAAGAAACAATGACAATGGATAATGAACAGAAGTAGTTTAACAAATAACACAAAAATATACACACAATTTACTATATTATTCTCATTCAGTAATTAAATTAAATTATTCTCTGTGTGAAAAATAAAGAAGAGACTCACTATGCAGTACGATTAAGGTCAAATATTATATTTAAAATTAGTTTAAAAAGTTGATTACATTGTTTAAGTTTCATAGTTGGGTCAAAATTAAATAAACTTACACAAAGTTATATTTAATAAAATGCTAGATTAGATTAATTAATCGAAACTAAATTGAAATCGTGTTCAATTATTTAATAGATCTTACAACTTCCAGCCCAGTTTTAAATACGGGAATTAAATATAAAATGTTTTAGTGAAAGATCAAAACAACATATAACAAGACAAAACTTCTCTTTAATTTTTTTTCATCAAGAATCGAGTTCTAGAGTTACAAAAGTATTAAGAGCGTTTCTATTAGGGTTATAGTTAGACGTTTACGAAATAATCTGTTGCATAAGTTAAATCATAATTAATAACGTTTAATACATAACCCGGAAAGTCATAAATTAATTTCGACTTCAAATTTATTTGCAAGTTCCCAATCATAATATTATAAATGAGAAAGTTTGTCTGTATATATACTTAAACCCTTAACTAAGGTTGCGTTTGAAGCAAACTTATTCTAACTTAACTTATTCTATTTTTATTAAGTCATTGTTTTATCAGGCTAAAGTCTGGGTTTCATACTTAATTTTACACCAACTCTATTTCGTGTTCCAGCTCATCGTGTATAATGCTATATCTACAGTGTATGTTACATCTTTTCTAAAATACATGACAATTATGGTCAACATATTACAAAAAATAAAAAGACGATAATTACATTACACTTCCAATTTTAGTATTGACTAGTAATATTGGATGAAGTTAAATGATTCCTGTAATGTAGTGGGTGCAATCCTGCAAACAGATTTGCCGCAATAACCCAAGTACCAAACTTTTATAAAATATTCGTATACGTCTATTCGACGCATTCATAAGTTATTGTTTATACTAGGTAAAGCTTTCTATAAGGTAAAGCTTTCTAAAAAATTGAGCTGTCAAAAATTTACATTATCGTAATAACATAATATACAAATTCTTGAAACTCAGGTTAAGTTCCCAGCCTCGTTCTGGTTTTTGTACTTTTCCACGGTCGCAAGGAAAATAACCCTCTCATTAAAAAATAATAAGTCCAATATTGTCGTATTAACCAAAGAACTCAACTGTCCCTTTTCATGACAGCGTAACACCATTTGACAAGGAGTGGGTGCCGCTTGGACGGAATGGGAAGATGGAATGGAAATAAATAGCAAGATGATTAAGATGGCGCCCCACTGCACAGTTTTTCAAGCTGAATTGACCGCACTACGAAACGCGACTAGCCACATAAATAAAAATAAGCGTGACGCTAAAATATACAGTGACTCTAGGTCAGCATTAGATGCTATTGTTAGTGGACGATCTCTCGATCCCCAGGTAGCCGATATCCGCCGGAGCCTGGAAGAGTGCCGCAAAAGAGGAACTCATATAAGCCTCTTCTGGGTAAAGGCGCACGTTGGTACGCCAGGGAACGAGAGGGCGGACACGTTAGCAAAAGAAGCGGCGGAAAGACTATGGCCAAAACCTAAATACTCCGCATACCCCCTGTCATATGTAAAACATCAGATAAGGCAAAATACTCTAGATGTATGGAATTAACGCTACCTGGGGGGTGAAACAGCTGGAACTACAAAATTATTCATCGCAAATGTTAGAACTGCGTACAAATTAATAAAAGAGAAGCGTTTCACACCCCAGATGGCGCAAATTCTTACAGGGCACGGAGCCTTTGCACATTACCTTCATAGGTTTAAAATTAGGACAAGCCCAACATGTGCCTGTAGTAATGAAGATAGTTGAACATGTGCTCCTACATTGCCCTATATTCGCATCGTCCAGGCACGACCTGGAGCAACAAATGCAGATGACTGTAGACTGTAACGGCCTACAGGACATGTTAATAAAGCACAGATCGTGCCTGGAACGGTTCTGCGATAAAATTATTAAATATATTAAGGCGGCAAACAAAACTCCAAGAACGGGTCTCGCGAGGAATTGCGTCCCGGCTCGCCCATGAATATTGTAAACAAAAATATGACAGATGTATCCGGGGCGTATTTCGCGAGACGTGTGATGTGAAGCTTAGATATAGAAAAAGTCCCTGGACACAATGGCAGGGGAGTAGAAAAGGTATTATTTTTAAAAAAAAACACCATTTGACAGAAAGATACCAAGTATTTTAGCTTTTATGAAGAGAGTAAGAAGCTGCCGATAAAACACCAATTGGTAACCAATATTTATCTTTATTCCAACACAAATTACAATATTATTAACCTACACAGTAATAATAATAATTAAAAATTAATAGAAAATAAAAACAAAATTTTAAAAAGTATGATCCCTGTGGCAGTGTACGTTTACTGCCTAAATACATTGTAGACATCGGGCCGTGGGAAAACTAATATATATTAATAACTTATAAATAATTCAACCCAGGCGACACATATATAATATTATATCATTATAGTCGTTGATTATGAAAAGGTGTCAAATTAATATTAAAACCGGTTATGAAATTGCAAAAGTGTTACACTTGCTCATGACAGGTGCTTTCTGCAATTGATACATACGTAGTTACTATACGAAAGTGAATTTGTTTCACCTCCAATAAATTGGTATAGATTATGTTGGATAAGAAAATATGTTACTTTATTTATTTCGTATACCCACAGCTAATATTAATTACATATAACAAGATATCCAATATATCCAAAGATATACAAAAAGGTTGAAACATTTATATAAGGAAAAATCCAATAAAAATTATTCAATACACTAAGTAAGTAATATCTAATTCGGTTTTGTTGTGGGATGGTGTGAAAGAGAGGGTGTGTATGTGTACCTAATAAAAAAATAATCGCGTTATTTTCTAGATTTGGAGATTGATCGTTAACAATGTGTAGCGTAGAGTATAAACCAATGCGCAGACCATGAAATGAACTGTTATGTCTATATCCGTAAGGTTGTTGCAACATTACGCCGGCCTTGGTCGATATTTTTTATGTACACCATTTTTTATTTATATTTGAGACTTGATTGACTTTGTGTAAGATTTCGACTGTAGGCTAAGATTTCAAATTTGCTTGTATCGTAGAAAGTTCTTTACCGAGCTTTTTGGCAGAAGTCTATTCACATATTAAAACTTTAGGAGTTATTTACGATAATTGCCTTAAAATTAGTATTAAATATCATGTTACATTAGCGCCATATTCCATATGCATGTTAAACAAAGGGTTTATTGAGAGCAAAGAGCGATATTTGCACATGTGTATTGCGACAATAGCGGTGTCACGGGCGCGCCCACAAGTGAATGTCGCATGCGTTGAATAATACATTAAGTACACATTCGTGAGATATTGTGTCGAATTTTATCGTATTTGGCTGATAAAAAGATAAGATTTAGGGCTGGCTTTAATGTAGGTATCCGACAGATTTATTGTTTATTTTAAGCCCTTATTTATTTGAAAATCCGTAAACCGCCCAAGGTCTGTCTCGCGTCTGGTTTGCTAATTCACTTAGGAACTAAACTGACACGCTTTATTTATTATGTACAAAAAAACTTCAAATTAAAATTAAAAATCATATTTTAGATTAAATGATGTCATTTGTGGTTCTGATAAGTTTTTACCGTTATAACGACCTAATTGATCAAAATGTATCAGAAATAACTTAAACGTCCTTGTCAAGCGAAACGAGAGCAACACTCCCGCTTGTTCCAGTTTCGTAACTTTCACTATCATTGTGAGCTTGCGCAAGCGCTTGTCAAATTTTAATTAATATTTGTATTTGATGTTTGACTGATGCGATTACTTCTTTAGTACTGTTACGCTTTGATAACCAAATGTGTATTCTTTAGTATGAAATGCTGCGCAGAAAATTAAAAAAATTATCAGTTTTTCTTTTTCATAATTGTGATATTTTTTTATCTTTTGAGGCACACTGAAACAGGCACACAAAATTATTTTAATTTTCACATATTATGTACAGGCACACGCCTGACGCATACCCACACACACACTCTCTCATACACCCATACAACTTTATTTCTACTAACTTCTAACTAGTTGACTGTTTTGTTTTGTTTTTCTTTCCTTATTTAAAGCATTAAATTTGTTTGCCTACCCATATATGTATGTACTCTTTGTTACCACTCAATGTGACTTTGCTGTGAAATGGAAGCCTGGTTATCCATATCACAGGTTCTTACCTAGTTTGGAAACCAGTCTACCAATACCTTCTCAACTGTAATCTTATTGTTTGTTGCAAAGGTTATAGGGGAGAAAATAAATTATTATTATTAATATTAATAAATAAATGCTCGGTCCTGTTAACAGATTAAGTCGGATTTACAATAAAAGTGTGATGAAAAATTACGCGGTCGACATTTTCAGCAACATTGTGGAGTTGTTTCAGAAACCTTGCTGTGTTAAGTTTATTATTATTTCTAGTACTTTTTTCTCAATTCTAGCCAATCACTGCTATCGCGTTGGAGAACTGTATTTTTTTCCACAGCTCTACTGTCTGCCAGATTACAAGTTTTTTTATAAAATTAAAAAGATTTTTTTCTTTCAAGCAAAGTTATTTAAATCGTGTATCGATCTTTCAAACTGCATACATAAACTAGTCAACACCATCATATATTTATTCTATTCTCCCTACTTCAAGAAATGATGACGAAAAATGGAAAGAAACAAAGTACTTTTTTTGAGTTTGGCGACCAGTTCGGTCCTTAAGTTCGTGTTATTTTTACACGTGTATATCCCTTCTATAATACGTATTAATAAGTATCTAATTGTCTGTGTAAAATGTGTGATATTTGAAAGCAAAAATAAAATAAAATACTAAATATAATTAAAAATGTTTTATTTAGGTACATGAAAAGTTAAAAGGTGTTAAAAGCTCCTCAAACATACGATCCAATATCTTAATCTATTATCCGAATAATTTTATAGTGGACTTGTTCAGAAATCATGAAAGTTTAATTAGATTAACAAAACCGAGGAATGATTTTGCGCTTAAAGGCAACAAATAGGTAGATAATGCTTAATCATTCGACACAATTGTAATTTGATACGCTATTCAGACCATATGTTATGTAAATTACTTCAGCCTTCGTTATGTTCATTGGACCTATAAATACTTTATTTTTTGATATAAGATATTCTTTACGTTCACTTATTTTTAACAGTATTAAATTTTGTAGTTCGTAAAAAGTTTTTAACGTATATTATGCAAATTAGTTGTTTTTAGGTAAATCAGATCTATAGTAATAGTGAAATATAATGATTTCAATATAATAATTATTATGGTGACATGCATTTTAATTAAAACAACACACCAATAATAATCGTTTTACTATAATAATTTAAGTAATCAGTCTGTATACAGAATTAACGCAAGAATAATTGAGATAACCTATTTCATAAAACAAACAATTTTATTACTAAGTAAGAATAACTTGAATATAATATAAATAGGATCACATACACTCACACATACAAAGAGCTTAATCTAATTTGTATTATATGTCAAATATGTCTAAGATATTTATAACTGGTTTCTTTTTCACTATTTTCTTTACAATTTTCTCTTCCTTTTGAGGTCCTGTGGGTCCTCGTGACGGTCGTTGGTACCGGTCGTCTTCATATTCATCATCATAGGCTGAGTATGGTATCCGATGGTCGAAATCTTCCTCAGGTTCTGGTTGGTAATCGTCAACTATGCGCTGAGGTTTTTTCAATTTTCTTTTTGGAACCAGAACATAATCATCTAAGTTCTCAGGATCGTAGGAATCCGGAATTCTGTGTGGCCTAAACTTTTTCTTGGGGCGAGGCGGCAAATAATCAGAATAACTCTCTGGTGTTGGCAAATCATGAAGGTTTGGATAACCATACTTTGTTTGTGGTTCATTATATTCATCAGGTTTCAGAGGTTTGAAACCATGTCTGTAGCTATTGATATATTTCTCAGAGTCTATAGATGACGCCTCCGACTTGTATTTGTCACTATCATATTTGGTCGGTTCTTGGTAAGGTGGATATTTTTGTTTTCTAAAATCTAAATCTGCTATATTCCCATAGTAATTACTGTCCGGCTTATGTTTCTTATTACAGTTTGGATCTGAGCTATACCCCATGTGACTATGAGGGGAGTCCAATCCATCGTCACGTGGATGTTTAATATTAATACTGTGAGTGTATTCACTTGCATCTAAGTCTGAAGGATGTTTGGGCCGCTTGCTAAAAGAATAATCGTTAAATTGTGTTTCATATGGATATCTTTTTTTTTCTTTTCATTCGTTTTATAGGGTGGGTCGAGATCTGCGTCTTCAGAGAAGTCATAGTATCTGTCGTAATCTCGGAGTGCCTTGTCTTCCATTAAATCTGGATTTGGTAGTGGAGAATCCAGTGGTTCATTTTGGTTAGCATCACTGTTGGCAGCTATAAAACCTGTATCAGGTCCCGCTGAATATTCTACAGTCCTCATAGAACCGTCTGGTTCTATCACGCTGTAGTGACCTGAAATAAAAAATACAATTAATTTGATTTACTCTTATAGCGTTTGTCAAACATTATATGTATATGGTATCGTAATAATTTTATTACCTTTAAAAGTGTCACCGTCCTTTGATTCCCATACAGTCTTAACATCACCAGTTAACGCATCGGAGACTCCATAACCAAACGAATAGCTTGGATTACCCTATAAAAAAATAATAAAATTAAATCAATGACGCTACAACCTTTTTAGGTATGGAAAGGTTTCTGTATGTGTTTCATGATCATTTGTCAAAAGTAGGTGATCAGCTTCCTGTGCCCACTTGCCGGCAACTTTTTGGATCTAAGGCTGGTTTTCTCACGATCTTTTCCTCCACTGTTCTAGGGAATGTTAAATGCGCACACAGAAAGAAAGTCCATTGTTACACAGCTGGGGAATCGAACCTACGACCTCAGGGATGAGAGTCGCACACTCAAGCCACTCGGCCAACACCGCTCTCGATTTCCCTATTAAAGAAATTAATTATAGTCTATGAAAAGGAAAATACGTAAGACATCGCGTGTACAATCCCGTATTTACGTTTTGACATTCATCGCATGTGTAATGGCTGTTGAATAAAATGAATAATTAACTGCTTATTAATCATCTCAATAAAATTGTAATATAAGTGCTTTAATGTAAATATCACTGTCAGTTTCATTAGAGTAATAGGCAACACTTTCAACACTTTCAATTTCGTCACGCCAAATACATTTTAAGTTTAGATTTTTTGTAAATTCGGCAATTCAATAAAGTTCTAATTTTGAATATAATGCCAATAATAATGCACAATAATAATGTAAAGTACAGTAGGATTGACTAAGTTTTTATGTATTTTCTGTTTAGAATCACAATTTTGACCGTACAAAAACCGCATTAAAATTGAAGGAAAAATTTTAAGAATCATACCAATTTAACCAAACGTTACCTAATACGTATTTAACGTTTACGGGTACGTCATATTAAAGTTTAATTACACTTGAAAACTAGTTACTATGTTTGCAAACACGTTTAAATGTCGCGATCCCCAAGTTCAAGATGAGCGGTGCGTGCGCATCGCAATTCAATGTCAATGACAGCGGATCGTTGACTTTCAATTTCATACGTATTTATTAGGCGTGAATTATGCAACAATTTAATATGCAGTCCAATTAATATGACAAATTACTGCATTCTCTTTTTCTTTGTGGAGAAATCATTACTTTTAAACATTATTTATTTTGTAGATAACAGAAATTATATATTACAAAAAGAATATTATTCAGTATATATATAGATATAGCGAATGAATAATACATAATATATACATAAAGGTTCAAACATTTACATAAGGAAAAAATCTATAAAAAATATTCAATACTACAAGGCAATACCTAATTCGGCAGTGTTGTGTGATGGTGAAAGTGAGGGTGTATATGTAGGGTGTGCTCATGATGCAGGTGATTTACAGCTATGTATATTCTTAATACTCCTTTTAAGCTTATTCAGCGATAGCTTAATCAAGTCAAGGCCTAAATATTGGTAGTTATATGTCCGAACTAAGCGATATAAAACTGAGTCCAGTCTGTGAGATGATTAATTTTGCATAGTTCGTGTTGATGCGTGTAATGTTTAAAAGGACTTGCTCGTACTAAAACATTTTATTCAATATAAAAATGTTTTAGTACGAGTCTCTCGAGATTAGGTCTAGGCCTGTAGAGCCCATGCATACGACAGTTATACGTCAGAAAAACACCATACCCTGTATCTGAGATGTTTCACCAATAGATCGCATAAACCGGACATTACAAATTTAACTATATCTAGGCTCCGACCAGGAATCGATCCCTATTCATGCGTTACGGTTTTAGAAAAAGCCTTACCATACCCTCATAACATTAACCTGTATAGATAATATATTGCAGTAATATAAGTGCTTTAATTTAATAGTGAATACATGTGCTAAAGAGAAAAGTGGGTGAACAACACCGACTGGTTGAATGTTTCAACACTGACTTACTTTCGTTAGGCATTTAAAGCACGACATATTATTACGTAGGGTTTATTTTAATATTGTGAGTTTGTTAATAATATTTCAAAACCAATACGAAACTTATGAAGTCCCGTAAGGATAGCCAAAGACATACACGGACGGACAGACGCAATGTCTGTTCCATTGAAGTTTGTAGGCAAGTTTATTAGAGTTTTATTTCATTTACATGTGAACATGTTCGTACATATTTATTGAGTAAATACATAGGCTCAGGTTTCAAATACACGGCATGGGATTTAAAATTATACATATAAAAATATAAACTGTATTTTTTCAGTTTTGTTGAAAAATAGTTTTATGAATCGAAACTTTACAAAATATTTTAACTATCCAAAGATGATAGAAATTAATTTAAACATCTTATGTTTCATTTATTTTTATTCATAAATCAACAATTATAATAACAATTTATTTATATGTAATTATTAGTGTCGTGTTAAAATGATGACCAATTATGTGAAAAGGTATTTTTCTTGGCCATAAAATTAAACAAAAAAAAAAATTATTTTTCTTTTTAAATTAAAAATAGAATATAAGAAAACTATCGAAAATTATATGTCTTTTCTGACTATCAAGCAATGTTTAGCATAGTAAATTCTAAGGGATAATAGGGGCTTTACGGGAATTAAATTGAAACACGTAAAATACTCACTTCACTTTGTTCTTGGCTTAAGGTTTCTTGTACATCGTAATCCTGGCATATACACACAAGTATACATCCAAAAAGCACCTGTGATAAAAAATAATTTTCCAATAAATAATTAAAAAATACTATTTTAATAAAATCTATATTTAATAAACAAAAATATATCTCCGTTATTTGATCACTTACCAAGAAATGAATTAGATTCGCCATAATCACAAAATCACTTTAAGATTTAACATTCACAATCACAAAGTTATTTCTTCGCGAAAATCAACATAAACCTGTCCATTATCCAAGGTTGAACGTGAAGATGGCCACCGATCTCCACCACTCACCTATTTATAAACTCACACATCGTTTACGTCACGTGCGTCTACGCACACAACAGTAAAAATCACTAGAGGGTGGCTAGACTAATTATTTTATTGTCTAGAATCACAATGTTATCCAACCCCGGATGAAAGATGCTTCCCAATAGATAATATCATTTAATTAATCAATGATTTTAACGCAATTTTACTATTATATGTTTATCTATCATTATAATGAGAAGGTTTGTAATCTTGCAAACATTACAAACAAAATCAAAACTAATAAATTGATTACAAAAATTTATTTCCCATTAAAAGGCTATATTACATATGAGAAATAAGCGGCTTTATTTACTTCCAAATCATATCACTACATAGAATAAAGCAAAGTCGCTTTCTCTGTCCCTATATCCCTATGTATCCTTAAATCTTTAAAACTACGCAACGGATTTTGATGCGGTTTATTTTATTAATAGATAGAGTGATTGAAGAGGAAGGTTTATATGTATAATAACATCCATTAAATAGTGGAGAAAATACTGTTATTTTAGAGATTTCTAATGTGATATCGTAAATAATATTTTTTTTCCTTCCTTTTTTTCTTTTCCTTACATTGCAAACGCAGGCAACCCTACGAGTTTTATCAAAATATCCAAATTTAACGCGTGCGGGCCACGGGCAGTAATGAAAAAATCAAAACTACTGGATCGATTTTAATCATTTTTTCAGGGAGTGACATAGGCTATATATTTCATACCCGCGTGAAGCCGGAGCGGGCCCGCTAGTTATGAAATAAACGTCTAAATGACTGAAACGTGGGACTGGCCGGTAGTCTGAAATATTTGATAGACTAAAGGTGCGCTTACACAAGGGCAATAATTGCTTGGCGACTCGAATGGACCGATCTGGAGCAATTAATGGAGCAATTTCAATAAATTTAATAAATTGCAATAAATTAATTCGGCGATATTGCTTCTAATTGCTCCAGATATTTCATATCGCTCAATGTCGCAGATACGAATTGACGAATATCCAATGGACTTGAAAATTCCTAGCAGTTTTTGTATTCAACTAATTCGCACTTGTTTGTTTTGCGGCTTGCCGTCTTGCTTCCGCGGGGAGAGCGAGAGGTCTAAATAATAATAATTTCTAATTACTTTATTCAAAAGTAATTCAAAGTCTAATCGTGACATTCTAGTAAAGTTTTGAATAATATATCATCTAATTCTTTACACAATGAAAATTGCGGCCAAAAACGATCGCACCCAGATAGGCCTATTCCTTTTCTTTCTTTTTTGTTTTTGATTAATAATAAAAAAAAGCGCAACAAGCCGCCGCAGCAAGAACAATGTCGTCCATAGCGAGCGAATACTGAAATGCTCGTGTAGGACAGTATTGCCTAGTTGATGAAGTTGCGCCATATCGCTCAATATTGTATTGCGCAGTATTGATGCTTGTTGCCGTTGCCGTAAATTGCTTGATGTAGTCGTGACGTCATAGTTGACGAGTATTGACTGGACGCACCTTTATGAGTTTGTAATGGTTAATTTAGGTAGAAACTTGACACTTTAATTCTTACTCCACTGTACCTAATCTAAAGCATGGAAATGAAAATTGAACCAAATTTGATTGAAATTGTCTTAGTGAATGAATTAATTCGCAATAATTTGGATTGCAGAATTAAAAACAATGTATAATGTATATCAACAATTGAATTATTTATAAAAAATAAAAATAAATCAGGCGCCGTTCTTTCAGATTTCTGTATGTTTCATGATCATTTGTCAATCTAATAGGCAAGTAGGTGATTAGGCTGTATTTATTATTTAAAGTATTTCTTTAGTAACTCATTATTTGATTTCCGCTTTTTTTTTTTTTTTTTTTTTTTTTTTTTTTTTTATTTATATTTACACTAAATTAATTATTTGATTTCCGCTTTTTTTATATTTTACATAACAATAAAATTCCTAGCTACTTTCTACCTACAACGAATAGTAATTGGTATGCCGATGGTTCAAATACATAAGAGGAAATTTAATGTAGAGAACAAGAGCGTCTAGCGTGCATAGAAATTACTAAATATGCAATCACTACATTACATTTATTCTTATAAATCCGATATGCGTAATAAATTTACAAGCACTGCAGCACATACAATCAGGATTTTATATCATGAAAAAACAAAAGACGGAACAAGTAGCAGATGACGAAAAGAGGAACTTTTCCATTCCATCTAGAAAGTTATAACTTTGCCAAATATTTTCAGACCACAATACAATGATGCATTAAAGATTGACATGACTAAGAAACTTATGAATTTTGTAACAAATATTATTTATTTATTTATTTATAAAAGCTTGGCAACTCCCAGCACACTGAAATATTGATATAAGAACAATAAAATACAATTATTTATGTGACAATAAAAATAAATAACGAAACAATTAAACTAAATGAAAAGTGTGAGGGGAGCAACTATGGATATCCAGACCCAGCTCGTAATATCAGAATGCTCAATCTGGACATCGGTGAGTTTTGGCCAAAACGCATTCTCCGGAAAGGGACCAAATGGAATGATCATTGTTTATGGTGTCACAATTATGAATAATTAGTGATTCTGAAAAAATGCATAAAATAAATGGCTTTTATTTATTTTTAATTCTTTATACGAGTAGTAGTAGCCATAAAATGGCTTCTTAATAACTGCTCGTGGACAGGGGTCCTTTCAGTAGAACTTTGCAAAGGAGAGGTTTCCGAGGATGACCTTCCATACTTGGAGATATACTATAAGCTGGCGGAAAGCGACTCTCCTTCATACTGCGATGATATTCCACAACTACGTTTGCCATAATCTTTTAATAAAATAAGTATTCATTATGATGTGATAATACGGATATACCGTTAGTGATCGTATTACGTTTTAGTCAATTTAATAGAAACCACTGAATAAACATGAGGAAAATAATTGAACTGAGTCTGCAACGATTCATTATTCGTATGAATATTAATGAATCCTAAAATATTAATACCTATTCGCGACTTTGTCTAGGACGATAAATCTTATTTGTTCCTTAAAAATATACTAGTGGTGGTAATTTATACCTCTCACAGATTGCATCTGTGTCTTCGATCATAGACAAGTCAGTGAAGGCCTAATATAAGCGCAACATTTACCATCACACTACGAAAATCAATTGCTGGATTTGAACGCTGCCGCCGACGTCAGGTTTGAAATATGCATAAACCACTAACGTCACGACTTTACAGTATACTAGCTAGTTAGTTAGTTAACCACAAATTCATTGCGACGACAAATTTTAGGGCCCAATTTGGTACTGACTGAAAAACATAGGGCAGCGAAGACTATGTTTAGGTTTCAATTGAATCTAAGGTGATTGAATTTGAGCATCTGCACAAATTTGTGTGATGTGTGTAAGGTACACGCTCATAGTGTCTAAAAGTCTATATGTAGTATATTATATAGACTATGTTTATAAAAATATCCGTCTAATTTCACCTTTTAACTTAAGTAGTAATGTTTTTTACCAGATCGAAAAACACACAGGTTTTATGACTAGTATACAAATACATGGTGTCGTAATAAAGATAACCTCAAAATTGCCAAAAATAATAATATTATTAAAATGGTTTTACATGAATAAAAATATATAAATACACAAACATTCGTTGTTACTACTGAAAATGGTTCCTACTATTAATTACATTAATTGTAACGGTAAGAATTTATGATGACAGAATTATCAATCAATATGCCTAGCATAGAATTGATCGTTTTAATTTCCTTGATCAAATGCATAGACATTATTGGCGATACGAAGCGACGTAATCGTAATCCACAATAATTTTTCTTCATAATTTATTAGCGTGCTTTAAAACTAATTTAAATTTGCAATTGCTAATTTACCTAATTTTAGGAAAATGTTTTAATGATTAATGCATATTCTTTATTGCTTTTTTTGTTATATTAACTTCATGTCAATCAAAATGCATAAAGCACCTAGCGTAAAAACTTATATTACTGAGTAGAATAATAATTCTAAGTGACATACCGACCTTCCAAAATGTGTAAATAGTTAAAAAACCATCGGCGCTAGTACCTCATAGGCCTTGGCGTCAGATTTCTGTACTTTTGTTTCGTGATCATTTGTTTTTTTTCTAACAGGCAAATAGGTTATCAAAATCAAACCTTCTGTGGCTGTCACACCCCGACTTTTTGGATCTAAAGCACGTTTCCGGCACGGTTTCCTCAGGAAGTTTTTCACCGTATGAGCAAGTGTAAAAGGCGCACATAGACGCATAGAAGAAGTTACATACAGTGGCTTAGTGTAATAAAAATCACTCTATCAGAATCAAATCACACTTACTAATATATCATTAAAAACACAGGGGAGAATTTCACACAAAAATTTAACAAGTTAGTGAAAAATTTTAATCTACCGTCATTTACAGTTTGGAAACGAAAAGAGTTTTCTAAAAAATCTTTGATGAACATCGTTTGACATTGGTTGGTAACTGACAACTTAAACTGTCAACTTTCAATTCAAGACGATACGGAGTAGATACAAGGATTTTGACCCACCTCGTTTCAGACTTGACTAGTCGTCTTGTGACGTTCCGACTCGTTATTCAAAAATTACGGACTATTTAACATAAAACATAAAATAATCAAATTTAAGGTAATTAATTTTCATCATCTCAATTAAAGGTAATTATCGAGACTACGATGAGTTCTTCGTGTTAAGAAACAGTTTTTTAAAGTTGTTCAAAGAAATACCTACAATTACTATTTTAAAAAGTACAAAGTTCAATGCTAAAAAAATCCTAAATACTTTTGACCATACTTAAAGACAAAGCAATATAACAGTTTGAACTATTCTTCCAAATTTCAGTATGGAATCTTAAGTTTACCAATGGTGTCGAAATAATAGAAGCCTTTAATCCACCTGCATCCTGTTCACCCATGACTTATCTGCACAACCGGCATCTGTTATAAGCAATTGGCAGATATCTTTTCACCATGCAAATAAAACTCTTAAATCTCAAAAAGAGATCTGAGAGAGAGTCAGTGATAACTTGCCGCACTCGCTATACCCATTTATATCCTTTGTCAAGAGGAGCCCAAACAAGGCGACAGAAGCCCTTAATATCGATACATAAAGATCTAAAGACTCATGTCGTAAATTACAGATCAATCATAAATGTACTTGCTAAAATCTTAGAGAATCTTGTGGCAAACTCTTGTGGTTTGGTTTAGATCGAAGGTTGTAGCAGCTACTGGCATTTGCTTTTAATTAAATTTTAAAAACACAAATTTATAATGGAAACCTTTATTGAACTATCATAAATAAATACTTAATCCTAATTATAAAGTTACAGTAACCGTTAACTTGAAATAACGCCATCTAGTGGAAACCAAAGTAATCAACTGAATTCAATTCCTTGTATCCTTGTGGAGATGGCGCGAAACCGATTTTTCGAACGACTGCTCTAAATCCATGGATTTTGTCTGCCGTGTACTCTACTATGCGAGTGCTGCCATCTGGTTCTGCTAGCGAATATGCGCCTGTAAAGACAGTGAGTTGATTTAGAAAGTAACTTAACATGTTGGGATTTTAATAGATGGCGCTATAAATATTTAACAGCCGAGAAGCTGTTCTTTTAGGAAACTAAAAGCATTTGAAATTATATAAATTTTTAGAGTTTTTTTTTGCTTAAAGTTCTCTCTAGCGTAAATTAAGTCATAAATATTATAAAAAATCTTAATTACACACGGGAACCTACACACTTCTTACTTTAATACCTATATATTTTAACTCATAATCTTCATCTAGTTACATTAATTAATGTTATGACAATTGACATTACATTACAAATTATGTTTTATCATTCTAATCTTGCTCACATTCGGCAACGAATCCATAGTGGGCATTCCACAATGCCCACTTCTCATCGGTTTTGTTTTCTAATATTCGGCTACCCGTCAACTATTAGTCTAAATTAATCTAAATTGCATTCACTCTTAAAAACACTTTCTTATAAACCTAACATATAATCTTTATTCAAATTGTCCTAAAAGGCCGGCAACGCACTTGCGAGCCTTCTGGCAATCTGAGTGTCCCTGGACGGCGGTATCACTTAACATTACATGAACATCCTGCCCGCTTGCCACCTATTACATAAAAAAAATCTAAACAAGTTGTGAGTTGTTGTTTATATATCTCTTACCTCTGACAACATCACCATCTCGAGTCTCCCATTGAGCTTTGTGGTCTCCGGTGTGGGGGTCACTTACTGAGTAATCATACTGGTATTTTGGAGGAGACTGAAATGTAAACATGAAGATACCGATTTCATTAATGTATAATTCATAAGATTTTGTATAAATATAAACATCTGGCATTTCAATTACCCGAAAATAAGTGATTTTTTCTTCTATCTATGCAATAATTACTTACATAAAGTTTAGTATATAATCAATTATTCTTCTATTCTCTCTCTATTATATTATTTCGCAATAGATAAATTTAAAAAAAATATTTAAATTAATGTTATTTATATGTAAAACTATGTGAATCACTTTTAATTTCATGAACAATCAGATAATTAAATGAATCATCGATATGAATCATAAGAAATCAAATGTCATATTATAGATACAGAGCATGTAATCTAACAAACACACAATGGTGCCATTATCTCTATTAAAACGCGTCATGAAGCATGCAAGAGTCAATGTGCCTCAGGGTGCTACCGACACCCGCATACCGACACAAAAAACCGACACCCTGAAGTTAGCACAGTCGACATTTTAAAATAAAAAATGTCCATCTTTAATTATGTAGAAATATTTTTTTTGCGATATTTAAATAAACTTTATTTAACTAGATAATGCGTTATAATTAAACTTTCAATGTATAACCTTTCATTTGTTAGTGTCGGTTTTTTTCTACAAACGTAGAATAAGGCGAAAGATAATAATTTTAAAAAGATTTTTATCTTGTTACGCCAAAGAAGTTTAACTTCTAACACGTGTACATAAGTACAAACATATATCTTAAGCATGCTTGACTTGATATGTTAGCAATAAAAGTATTTCGATTTCATCGCACTGTAATTGGTATTTTCCGACCTTGCATAAAGTTTGTCAACACGTGAATTACTACGGTCTACGGAGCTACGCATATTAACGGTGATGCAAACTACGTCACGGTGTGTGATATTTTGCTGTCCTGAATTTATTTATAACCAGCTCTTATTAATTTGGAACAGGTTATAGAACACAGTTTCCCATGTACATAATTTATACAATAAAATGAAATTGTTTACTTAAGATTTAGGTTTTGGGAAGAAAGCGCTAAGAAATTGTAAACGAAACAGTAAGTAAATTTTCAAAACATCATGAAAAACTGTAATTCAAATTCCAAATAATTTTAATAAAGATTTGTCTAAATTAATTACGTGAGATTTTATATTGGGTTCCCATTTGGTTAGCTGAAGTCTCAAGTCTCCACGTTGTGTTATATCCAGCTAATTTCGATTGCCCCCCTTCACAATCAAATCAAAATCAAAATTTGAACGAGAGAGTGTATCAATATATGCCAGATTGCGGATTTTTTTTTATAGAACAGTGAACAGTAGATGTTAAGTGATACCGCTTCGCCCATGAACACTCTCCATGCCAGAGGGCTCTCCACGGTTTTTAATAATTGGTACTCTTTATAAAATCGGGATACATTATCTCTATATCTTGATGTTAAAATTGGCATGTTTGCACTTAATGAATAAAAAATATACGATATCTTACGTTGTAAGATCCAGCTGAAGTGACTGGAACAGCTACTTGGTTATACTCTGGATAACTTTCAATGTCCGCTATTCCATATCCCCTTCTACCTGCTCGGCCAATATAGCCAGAGTCAACAACAGCACACAAAACAAAAAGGCCAACAACCTGAAATAAAATATAACAATATTAAGAGTTTACTACATAATATTATAACAATAATACATTATACATGCAACTTCAAACTCTATAAAATAATTTAATTTAAAATGGTAATGTAGCGTACATGGTCGTTTTGTGATGACCAGTTGTTGATGAAATACCTAAATTTGTGTAGACAACAAATTTAACCAATTTTTTAATGCTCATTTTTAAAATTGTAGTAAAATAAACTTAATGTATTAATCAGTATTAATTAAACTATTGAAAATTCAACCTTTAAGTATAAGATGTGAAATTATTTAATAAATTACCGATGAAAATTCCAAATAATTTAATGTTTAATGAATTTCAAAAGGGCATTAAGAAACATTAGAATGAGAACCAGACGACTAAGGACTAGGACCGCTGATGTGCATTTCGTTCGTATACATACTCGTATTGAATATCAGGAAAGCACCATTTACGCGTGTCTTGCGCACCCTGAATATTATTGCATGTGCGACGGATATATTTAGTTCCACACGGGCTGAATTCAAAAGAATTGCATTATCTAGGTTTAATGTTCTTGTTTTATTTTCCTTTTAATTCAATTTTTCTATTGTATTAGTATTAGGTTACCGGACCAAATGTACGGTTCCTGGGTCATCGGGGTGCTTTAAGTAAAAGAGGTTTTTAGTTTTACTTCATATTAACCACTCGCATACAAATATAAAATATAAGCGAAATAATGAAATGTTAATTGCTGTGTAACGAATGAATGCAATGTAACAGTTGAAGAGAGTGTCTGAGTATGTCTATACTCTCGGGGCGTAACTCCGACGATTTAGGAAATCGCCACGGTTATAAAACTAAGAAAGCTTGAGTGAGCAAAATGTACAGCCTTGGCTCGTACAGTAAGAATGAAAAATAAGAAAACAAATATTAAGTTTCTCATAAACAAAATTATCATTTTAAAATAAAGTTCTTTAAACTTTCAATCCAGTTTTTCTATTTAAATCACGTAATACAGACAAAACCGTGTAACGGAGCAAGTTAAATATAAAGAGCAAGGTCAGTAATAATTGCTTTAAAGTACACGACAAAACAATGCGTTCAAAATGCAGTTTATGTTACGTTTAAGATTTGAAATATAACAATGGATCACAAAAAACAAACGCAGGAAGTGTATAGGTAATAAATGATAAATGTGTTCGACTTCCGTTTATCAAGGCACTTGCACTTTACTATTGTTGCGTGTGTAAAAATTCGAGATATGTGTCACATAAGATTAGTGCTAGCTACCCATATCAACGTATAGTAGATCTATTGTTTTTAGTTTCAATTCAGGGAAGAAATCTGTGTTGATTGATTGTTAGAGCTTTATTATTAAGGCGACTTTTAACCTTCAGCGTACTCCACCCAACCAATGTATTTTATTCTATAATCAGCACTTGTTTAGATGTTTAATCAAATATGGTTATGCTGACAAGTCTGCTACTGGGGATGTCTTTGGAGTGGATGGCGTGTGTCAAGCACAGAAACTTACTTATACACACCAATAAAGCGTAAAAGCGCCACTAAAGTGTGTCCGGAAAAAGAATTATCGACTTGAGAACGCTAAATTGGCCTTACGTCATTATAGTTCGACAGTAACCATCTTTATGCTCAATATGAAGGATTAAAGGTAAATCTTTTTTATAAATACATGTAGCAAATAAAATTTGATATTGACATTTATTCGACATCTCTGCAAATAATTTATATTGTGTTACTAGCTGACCCGGCAAACGTCGTTTTGCCATGTATATTATTTCTAGGAAAAAAATTTTTAGTTCAATAAAAATAACTATCTACTATAATAAAAAATAGGGGTTCATTGTAGAGGGTTGACAATTAAGGGTTGTATGTATTGTTGTATGTTCTATCATAAAAAAATAAAAACAAAGAGTTATGTCTAAAAAATTAAATAAAAATTTAGTTGTAGGACCACCCTTAACACTTTGGGGTATGAAAATAGATGTTGTCCAATTCTCAGACTTACTGAATATGCATAAAGAATCGGTCGAGCCGTATTGGAGGAGTATGGGAATGAACATTGTGACAGGGGAGTTATATATATATAGAGATTAATTATTACTTGTGTTTTGTGATTTCAATTTTATCTTTGAAGTCAACTCGAAATACTGCAAATATTTTAGTTTAGTTTATTATTATTCTTGTGTTAGTTTTTTTAAGCAAAATTTTTACTTATAGTAACTGTTATTTGACCAATTAATAAATCAAAAATATTAGTTCGTATAACATCCACGGCACTTCGTACATGCTCTCTAGATGATGATAATGATTGCTTTAAATGCTAGTTTAACTATAAATAAATGTACTTGAAATTCGTAGATATAAAGATTTTATAGCATATTATGATAAATACTCAAACACCATAATAATATAACACTTTTCGCCAAGTAAAATAAATATAATCATTTGCTGCGAGATCGTTGAACTCTTTTATATTCAACGCGGTTGACATGCGGTCGTTTTTTAATAGTATTATTATTTTTTACATGTGTATTAATTATATATTTTGTTATTTATGTAGTCAACTAATTCTCTGAACTAAACTTTACAAGAGTACTCTCTCAGTTCAAACATCATTTAGCTCGGCGTATTGTGGATTTTATTTAATAACAAAAATGAATCACCTACTTATCAAAAGATAAAATGACCAGTGTAACAGATGCATCTTCATTATCTCATCTAAAGACCTATATTTATTTACTTTTTTTTTATTACACAATACATCTACTTTAATGTTCAAACTTTACAATATAACCCTATAATAACTAAAAATACTATAAAACTAAAATTCACACTCCACTTACTTGAACACTAAGCATTGTAACACTGTTTTCGTCTTCAGTAGCACCGGGAGTAGAAATAATACTGATAATAAAAGATCCGTAGCACAGTTTATATAAGCTACTGATTACACCACACATAGTAGCTTACTCATTCGTAAATTGGTAGTTTTTAACGGAAATTGAAGTAAAATTTGTTTGCAATAAATAATTTTAAGATCGTGTTAATGCAAACTAAATATGTTTCTTTACAGTTTAAAATCTATATTATTTATTTCAGAGAACCAGCAGTGTTTGCCTAGTGGGTTCAACGTGCGAATCTCATCCATGAGGTCGTAGGTTCGAATCCCGGCTGTGTACCAATGGACTTTTTGTATATGCGTACGGTGAAGGAAATAATCGTGAGGCATGCCTTAGGCCCAAAAAAGTCGGGTGTGACAGACACAGAAGGCCGATCACAAAACAGATACACAAATCTGAGGCCCAGACATAAAAGGTAGCGCCACTGTTTTCTTTTCAGCCAATAGTCGTATATTATTTTTGCTATTGCATGTTCTGTTTAATGCGTTACACGTAAGTGATAATAAAAAGGTGAAACATTATTACTGGTATCCAGATGGATATAATTAAAATTTTACCTTTAAATCATTATTTGTTCTCGGGTGAAATTTAAGTCACGCATTCAAAATGATTAATTTGCGATTTAATTAGAAATGTTAAGTGCTTGCCTTAATACCAATAGTTAGTCAACATTTTTCTTTATTTGTTTTTGCTAGAGATTATATTGGAAGATAAAAAAATGAATAAGGCAATTGTGCAGGTGTAATTTTGTCGAAAGTATTTACGAAACTTTTTACACAACTTTTTAAACAAATTGGTCTTACTATGAGAAGCAAAAAACAGCCTGGTTCAACTGCTAGCCTAACAGTTGCAGAAGCTAACAAAAAATTCGAGACATCACGTTTTAAATCATTAATTTATACGCAATATCTCACAAACCTTGCGTTGTCATATTTTATTAAAAAAGTTTTTCAGATGCATTAAATACATGGGTGTGTAGTGTTTTATTCATAGTTGAAAAAAACACTATTTATTATTACAAATAGAGCAAATATATGTATTTTTGTGTTATGAACAGACTCCACTGGACTATTGAGCGTGTTTTTTAAATTCTTATTTTATTAACAAAAGGTTGCCAACGCACACTGATTTGTAATAAGGAAATATTTAATACAAGATTTAACGTTACAAGCACGAAGAGAAAAAAATCGATTCATAAATTATAAAAACTAAAGGAAAAGTGATTTCAAAGTGTGAGGGGAGCAATTATGGATATCCAGATCTAACTCGTTTATCAGAATGGACATCGGTGTTTTTTTGGCAAAAACGCGTTTTTCTCAAAGGAAGAGATTTTTCACCATTAGGAAGCCCATGAACATTCTTTATTAAAAGGATAATTTAAAATAAATAATTAACATTTTTTATTTAGATAAAGAAGTATTTACATTATTCTTAACCAAAAAAAAAAGTTTGATCTATGTGGCGTTTTACCTCTATGCAGGGAGCGTTTCCTCACTATATTGCGATAATTATTCGTAATCCCGAAAAATATAAATAGATAAATGTCCAGCTACGTAAAAAGTAGTCTATTTAAAATATAGTGTATATGTACTTGCAAAATTTGTTACTAACATAATCAGTATAATCAACCATTTTAAAAGGTTTTTAGAATGTAATTCACGTTTTATTTCAGACGTTTTCTAAAAATTTTATATTTGTATGGAGAAAAGTAAATACGTATTAATGTAGTAGTGTTGGAAAATAAGAGGCGATTTGTCACAATTAAAAATCAGCTACGTATGTCAAGCAAAGAAGACCTATTTGCCTCTAAAAGAACTAATCGATTCAAAATATGCAGAAATCTGAGTCCATGGGTCTAATAACATCTTGAAGGTTCCTGTCCAATGTATACGTCGTACAGTTGTATAAAATAATATTTATTTAATTGAAACAATTTATTTAATTAGTAAAGATCTATATTTTTATATCATTCATCAAGTATCCCATACAGTGATTCAGTAATTACCATACAACACAAGGTCAAATTTTTGTGCCGACCGTGTGAATATACCAACTTAGTTCCACCGCCCTACTTTCAATGGACAGTGCTAATATAGTACGCAACTAGCATCTTTTCTGAAGACTTATGTAATTAGCGAAAAAATCCTTGCTTTTCGCAAAAACAACACATTTATTTATTTCTTTAATCCTACAGCTAACATATATTTTGTGTTGTTTTGTGTGATGGTGTGACAGAGGGCGTATTTAAAAGATATCGAACGTATGTAACTGAAATATTAAGGCGGTCGCCATGAATATTGTAAACAAAAATATTACACATGTAGCCGGGGCGTATTTAGCGAGACGTGTGATGTGAAGCTAAGATATAGAAAAAGTCCCTGGACACAATGCAGGGAAGAAAAGGTAATTAAAAAAAATATATTAAGGCAGTTGATGATCTAACCAACGAAAAATCCAATAAATCAAAGCGAAGCTGCAATACAATAGTAATATAATACTGGATTTGGTTCACGCGAGTGATACTCATTTAATTAAACAATAGAAGAGACTAGTTAATCACGACTGCTAAGTATCTATTTGAAACGACGAGTTATGTACGTTCGCTTATATATGGGTATATAATAGAATAATTTTATGTAAAAGATAGTTAAATAGTAATCCTTTGGGTATTTTGTTGACAATTATTCGTTTTAGAAAACATTTTTAAAGAATGACTATGAAATATATTACTGTGCCCATACATATATCACATGTGAGCATACAAAGTAAAACATGTTGATGCACTTTAAAAGATGTCTTAGATTGATGAACGTGAATAAATATCCGTGAACAGCTTATAAGGTAATAAGTGTAAGAATGGCTGTTGAAATAAAGTAATGCGTATTAATGTAAAAAATGTTGCACTGAAATATGAAATAAATTTCAATTCTACAGTTTTCTTTTAAATTGTTCAACGCCATCTATCCTCCATCCACAAAACTATTTCTGATTAAATAACACGCTGAGGTCATAACTCGTAGGCGAATGTAAGCTCACAGTTTATAAGGTAGTTCACACAGTTTTACACCTGTTCATAGAGATGTCGCCACCTTACATTATTTATATATAATATGGTATATAATGCTAATCTTACAATTAGATGCTTAAAAGACTTGTTCTAAATATTTTTATGAATAATGTTTTTATTATAGTCCATAGGTACTAATCTATAAAAGTCAAATCAAATCAGAATTTATTAATTCCTGTTTGGGTTCTGTTACCTGACCTGATGTGAAAACAAATATAGGAGATCCAAAACGATGGCGCGTTCCCTCAGTTTACGATTAGTCAAATCGTCTCAAAACAAAATCAAAGAAGAAAGAAACTTTTGTTGTTTTCCTATATCAGCCACCCACGTAGACCTGAAATGCCTGGCTGTGGCTAACCAACGCACATAAATCCTCGGAGCAGTGTCATATTAAATTATTTTTCAAGATATTTGATGTTTTGTAAGTACAATAATCAATAAATTATATCAACGGAAATGCGTCAATAAAATCAAAAATTATTAGTATCTTCTGACGTTACCTTCAATATTTTATTTTCATTTTGTATTTACTTTTGGACAAAACCCCTTTTTTATCACGACAATTTGTATCGTAATAAAATATGGTCAAATGATGCAATACTTACAATAAATTGGCTCATACATTCTATATTTATCACTTATTAATTCATTAAACATAAGAAATATGTTAATTCGGACTAAATTAAAAAGCATTCCTTCACCGGAAGCATTCGTATGTAACGAATCAGATGCTTTGTACAGACATCTGCTTCAACAAGCATCTGATTCAGTTACAGAACTGAAATTAAATTTGGATAAAAAACATGTTTCTCATATAATCAACGTTATTTTTACATGCACTGACAACTATTGCGCTGGTATGATATGGACTCAGTTTCCGCACTTAGCACGAAGCACAGAAGTCTCCTGGGTACTTCGCAGGCTTCACGGAGCGACCTCACTGCTCCGAGGATTCTAGTGTCGATTTAGGAGATATCGAAGTACTAGTGATCAGATCTTCCTACTCCGTCAGATCATGTAAAATATAATGGAAACAGCGAATGAAGCTCCTCTAATTTGGTAGAAGTCTGTTTCTGCATCAATGTACTGCACTGACTGATAGCACTGGTTTGTGCACCACACGGTGAAACTTGTACTCGTAAATAACGCGATATTTCATATTTCCATTTTATAAATTGAGTGACATTTCTTTCCAAAATTTCTAACCAAAGAGGAGATATTTAAGGTCAAAGTGGCCAGTACAACAAAACGCCAATTTCATATGTAAGGACCTAATATTTACTGGAAATTCGTGAATGTATCAATAATATTTCAACAGCTGAATACCAATATTCATGTTTCATTGTAAAATAAAAAAAATCCATTGCTCTTTCCATTTTATAAAAGTTCAATCACAATCTTACACCTTAAACTTCTTGTATCCTACCATATGTAATTTATAATGATACTTAATTGCAACATAATAATACCATTGTGGCATTAAAGGTGAGTAAGATCCGACATAAATTCATAATTGTAATTAACAATTTTAATCAGCATTTCAATTTTAAGATGGAATTTCATGGCTTTAAACTTATAAGCTTAATTATTACTAACCAATAATATTCTTTTACTATAAACTAGCATCGGACTCAATTTCGTGGGAGTTTTGAATATAGCGCACTCGGACTCCGCTGAAAAATCTTCAAGTAAAATCAAATTTTCGTCGCCGTTATAAAACACATCTACTTACTCAAAAAGAATACCACGAAATCGAGTTTTTAATCCGCCCAAAAATATTTATTCATCTATTTCTTATAGTAGTTTTAGTAACAATTATTCATATTTTTATTTACTATATACTTTTACACACAAATCTTCCAAGACTTCTTTACTTAAACTAACTGTTGTG